GTGTGTGTGACACACGAGATGGGCATGGTGTGACTGCACCCAAACAAGAATACGGTATCTGGCTGGGTAGCCAGTAGTTATGCATGTATTACGACTTTACTATATATATTTAGGAAAATCTATACGTATAACATTAGGCGGCTTTGCCGCTGACAAAAATAGACAAAAATCAGCTTTGGATTTTAAACGGAAGAGTTAATTAGCCTTGGGTTAAGGCAATAATTACTCTTGGGGTAAGCGGATTGCGATCCGCTAGACTCGTACTTGTTCTAAGTATAGAACGAAAAATTCGGTAACCTAAGTTACGCTTCCTCAAAGCGCAAAGCTACGGCAGCCCCGCTGCAGCGACCCTCTCATAGAGAAACGTCAAGTCTTAGGATGCGCATATACTGTATGTTGAAAAAAAACTGTCTTTTATCGTACCTCCTGAATGAAATTACCGATAAAATCTAAGCCAAGAAAAGCGACTTTTGAAGGTAGGTTAAACTCACAGCCCAGTGTTTCTGGCTGTTGAAAACAACGTCCCGGGGTTTGTTAAGCCATGGAAAGTCAAGTTAGATATCAGAGGCATTGTGCAATTACGCATTCCTCGCAACAGCTGACATTACGCGGAGGTATTGAAGATGCCGAAAACAAAAACCATATTCGTGTGTCTTGCAACGGAGACACGTAAATGGTTATATTGCTTCTTCAAGTGAAATGAAAGGACTTTGTCAGCGTGGAACGTTCTCTAATCATGGGCCTAAATTCGAGATACGATCTCAATCTGGGGATTGCATCTTCTTGTAGCCATAAGCATATAATACTAAAAATATTTATACTGGATGGTTGTTAGTATAAGAAATCGTTCTAAGCAAAATCGCGAATAAAATTGTTCTAAGCATACTGTTAAGTATTTATGTAATAATAATCACTAATTATACTGTGATGGTTGTTAGTATAAGAAATTGTTCTAAGCAAAATCATTAGAAAATTTCGAAGCCAAACTCGCGTTTATAGTCCCTTCTCTTCAACATGGATACATAAATTCACATAAGCAGTTGCTCGTAATCTACTCTTGCAAACTTTTCGCGTTGTTGATAAAAACAAAAACACACAAACTCATGCTCACAGAGAAGACACCAAGCTTATTCAAATATGGTTGCTACCCGAACAAGGTTGCTTGTTATCACCACCAGAAGGCACTTCTGTCAACTTGATCACGGATTCTGTATTATCTTGCAGAATCCAATCCATTCTCAGTTCTCTCAATTGCACGTCTAGCTCGAAGCACGAAGCATACATACTGGTGATAAATTTCCCAGCGTCGGCAGTTCTATGTCGTGTAGATAGGGATCCAATTTTTCGTGAGGACCAGAAAGAGTTCTAAAGGATTATCAGGCATTAAATTGTGAAACTTGAGTTTTCGCTCTTCACGTCATGATATATTACATATATATTACAGTAGATTCTTTTGGTCCTTCGCAAACTGATGATAGAGTATATTTGTTTTATTTGTTTCTTAGTATTTGGTAGATTTTTGTATTATCTGATAGCATTTGGTACTTTTTTTAGTATTTGATTATTTTTCATAATACGCTTGTATTTTGTTCGCATGTATTTTGTACCAGAACGCATTTGTTTTGCAATATGACGCAAAGACGAGACGTCAGCAAATGTAATTAGGTAATGTAGATAAACTTAATTTTTTTCTAATCACGGTAATTTCTTTTCTTGTCGTACATTTGCTGCCTGCTATGGCATGGTCATCACCTCTGCCAGCGGATTCAGCCGCTCAAGTGGCCACTGCGCCGATGACGGCCAACAACGTCATCTTCTTAATCCGTGAGTCTTTAATAACTTAAAGTACATTCTCTTCGTATACAAAGTTCTAAATCTCGTTGCCACGTATGAACAGTTTTCGGCATGTTCCTTATGGCGACACTTTTACCAGTGCTAGTAAACACGCTCTTTCGTTTTTTGACACTTGTAGCCACTGCTGCTGTAGCTGCAGCAGTCACCAATCCATCGGACCAATCTTTTGCCCTGTGGATCAGCCAACAAAACGAGCAGTCGGACCTTATGCCGGACGCATCCCTCGGTGTGTCAAAATGGATCTCAGCCGTGTACAATACTGCGAAATCGCTGGTCTGCAACAAGCCACTAACCTGGCGTTTTCACAATGCGCTCATCTTTAGTGTTGTCTACGTGCCGTCCAAAGAACGATATGCTCTCGGCGTCTTCGGGAGCTGGCGCTGGGCTGATGAGTCGACGGATTTTGTAAAAGATCTCTGTCAAGCTGCTTGGGTTATTAAAATCTCTCGAGGAGGGACGAAGTCTGGTATCGACAATTACCTTGTGAGCGGGGCAGGCTCTGGGTTGATTTTGGGATCCGGCTCTCTCAGACGGAAACGAGTAGGTAATTCAATGGAATTTCAAGCTGACTTTGGAGAGGTCACGACTCAGTCGCATCGAAAGCTTCGAGAAAAGGCTTTACAGTGCAAATTGCAGAAAGACTGGAACAATGCAGCCACATTTTTTCTCCAAGCGGCCAAAGCTGCTAGTGAAGTAGTGACACAAGCGAATTACGAATTTAATGCGGTGTGGTGTAATTTGGAATCTTTGGACACATATCCAGTAGAACAAAATGAATTTTTGCGAAAGGTTCGCCTCATATGTGATACTTTAGCGTCTGCTGGTTACTTTGATGAAGCTGCGCACGGGTTATGTGAGTTAGCTCTGAGACTAAAGCAACATTTTCCGACGGAATGCAAAACTACAAAACGTGCGAAAGAATTGGCTAAATTGTATGTGGAGGCCAGTGATATTGCTGAAGCTGGAGGTAACATACATTGCGCTGCAGAAAATGGCCTTCGGGCAGCTGGTTTGTATGCAGACGCTTGCTTGTGGGAGCTCGCTGAAAAATGCTTTGAGGCAGTTGGTAAAAGTCGACTTGGAAACGGTCAAAACGATCTAGCGAATGAAGCATACAATAATGCTGTGCTTTGTCGCCTAAGTCAGCTTGATTTTGTTGGCGCTGAAGATATGCTTAATCGATTTACTAAGCACTTAGGTGGAAATCGACGCCTGAATGATATGGATATGTTTCTGTCTAGTTTACTTCAAGCGTGCAACGAGTGGTCGCTAACAAATTTTGAAAAGGCATTTCAGCGATATGTTTCAGCCCATCAACTTGCACTGTGGCAGGTAAATAAAAATCTGAATTTTTCTGTCGGTGGTATGTATGCTTGAATTGACGTGTTTGTATCTTATGTAATCGTAGCGTCAGTGTCTGTGTAATTTAAAGGACAAGCTGGAAAAAGCGGATTTGCGCTAAACGAAGTAAAGATGATTGACATGCAAAGTATGTGATATATACTGACTTGTTTAATTTCACCAAAAGGAAATGTACTCACAACGACATAGGATGTTCACATACATCGTTACCAATATTTGTAAGAAGCTTACAAACAACAGTGCAACTGGCTGTTTGCAAGTTTAGCACTGTGCGTCTGAGCCGAAAATTCGTTAGCTACAAATGGCATCAACTACGAAATCAATTAGTCGAAATAGTACAACAGCAAGCAACATGTTCATGTACCTTCATTTCACAAAACGCACTATCCAATTAAAAAATAAACGGTCTGCAGATTGATTCATACATAAACTCCTGCGACAACGAAATTAATCTCTTTTCAAATGCTTTAAAAGACGTTTATGTGAGACAAAAAGCGGCAACTGAAGAAACATGAGATAGAGCAATCCAGCGCAAGTATAAACTAATTGCACGAAAAGATAAGCTATTTGCTTCTATTTTTGGTCAGCCACGTACTTGGGGCAATTTGTACATAAGGCATTACGGTATGTCTGAAATTCAGGTCGTTGCGAAGAATTCATTCTGCTTTAATTTATTATGGCCTTACACGAATTAAGTAAGCATCAAGATCTAATTTTTTTTAATATAAATCGGAAAGAAAACTCACGAGACAACTGAGGCATAATATCGAGCAAAAACAAGTGCAGAAAACATAAGCGCATCAATTCGATCAAGTACGCCACCATGTCCAGGAATAAGCTTTCCAGAGTCTTTTACTCCCGCTGCGCGCTTCAGCAAACTTTCAAACAGATCTCCTAGCCGACCCACAATTACAGCCATCACTGTGAATCCAATTTGAGCAGCTGCAGAACCGGGCACATTAAGCAAATGGGAGGAGACAATCATCGCAGTTACGCCGAAAAAAATGGCTCCTAATGTTCCTTCGTAATCTTTATTTTTCGACAGGTGCGAGGCTAAAGGGTTGTAGTATCCATATTTCATTCGCTCCAGCAACTTTCCCGTCAAATATGCTCCCGTATCTGAAGCCCACACGACGTAGAGCAGAACGATCAGGAGCTTCCGGTAAGATTCCAGTCGCTCGTCATCAACGAAAGCAACAATGACAGATAAACCCCCAATGATGTAGAAATACCCAAGCATATCCACTGCAATGTGTAAGAACGTAGCGGGCGCTGATGTGCGTATTTGAAGGCGAAAACATACGATTACCACAACACCCGAGAGAAAAACTTGAGCTGGCTCAAGAAAGATTCCACAACTTAAAGTGTTCATGGGGCAAGCAGTCGAATGCAACGTAAGCAACGTAAATACTACCTTTTCTATGATGCAGATAAATGCATATTTCCAATTTGGTGTGAAGAACGCACAAAGCGCGGCAACGAAGTCGGTCGCGATGCTGTAGAACCATCGTAATTTGTAAAGCTGCTTTTCTTGCAATCCAGAAATATGATTGACGTAGACTAGGAACAATGTCGTGGTGAAAAACGTTGTGATAGCCGATAAAGCTATCGCAGCGACCCACTCATTTCGGCAGAAAAATCTGCTGGCAATTGTTGATACTGCACTACTTGATAAGCTCGGATCATTTGAAACTTCACAATCTTCTTGAAGAGTGTTGTCATAACTGTGTCGAGCCAGTTCAGGCGTTACTCCAGTCGATTCAGGTGGTGGTGGAGGAATCATACGCGATGACTGGATACATTCGTCACTAGTGCTGATTAAAGTGCGATCGCTGTTCGTGAATGCATCGCCTGTTGTATTTTCACGTACATACCCCGCTGTGTTACTGGTGCCGCTTTCACGTTGTGTGAAACGTATAAAGCTGGTGGACAGGCGGCTTACATTTATATCACGGCTCAAAGCCGTTATCTGATTCGTATCTGCGTCTCGCTGCAATAATTCCGCCTCGCAATTGTTGATTTTATTCATGACGCGCAGATAGATGCGGTGCTGGAGCCATGCATACTCGTACGAGCAGATACTGGTCACGAACGTGCAAAATGTAGCAGTGGCAAAGGCCGGGGAAAGCCACAAAAATACAGTGATAAGTGGCACCAATACGAGCGCCGACAATACGCGCTGCACAATATTTTTACCAAGCCATCTTCGAGTTCTTGATTCGGCTTCGCGGCTAAAATCTGAAACTATGATGGAAACCGCATAAGTCCGTTAGTGACGGTGGCACCAGATCGACGGCATTGGCATTCTTAGCCTCAACAAAAAATGATGAGGGCGAACCTGGCGAAGATGTAACCGGAAGGTCTAAAAATCCATCAGCGCTTGTCATGCCTCGTGTAATTGGCACTTCATTCGGAGATGGCACCAGCGGTGGTAGAAGGTTAGCCTCTAGTACCATGACCTCGTCAGGTCAGGTTTTTGGATATGGATCAATGAGGACTAACACTGGTTTAGGTCTATTAATTTGTCAATCAAGATTATTTTCAATGGAATAAACTCTGGGAAGAGCCACATAAAGATTAGCCCCAAGGCAGTCACAGCGTGCAGGGAGAGGCACATTCGATGCCAACGCAAGAAATCTTGACAGTTGAAGACGCGGGAAGGTACATCCCAAAGAATTTTACTTCTGCTAGAGGGAAATAGCTTCGAATTGGTGCTTGAGTGTGAATTTGAGGCGTTAAGTGTAGCTGAGTAGTTCAACATGAAAAGTAGTTATATTTCGGATGAATTGCCACCTTTAGATGATCGTTTGTTCATATCCGCATGAGTCGAGCGGAATCAATAGTGCTCCTCCTGCATGACAAAAGCTATCAGAGCCTGGATCACATCTCGATATTTTATTCTAGTATGTTTTGCGCGGCATTTAAAACACAGCGTGTGATTAATCTCTTTATTTAACCAATCCGAACACTGTGACCAATTTGGCACTTGGAAGTGTGAAATTAAAAAACATAAGGTAGGTCTGCGAGGTTTCTTTCGCGGCAGAAGCTCTCGTCGGGACGCTTACTAGGTATCTGACATACCACTAAGCTTCGTACGCAACAGATAATCTCAAAAATTAGTATGGAGGATACTACGAGCAGCGGCAATGATGCCAAGTTAGTCTTTACCGACTCAGACGCTAACGCGGCGCCCAGCACAGACGCCTCGCAGGCTGATCTCCAGGCGCAGCTTGCGATTTTTCAGCAGCAACAGCAACAATACATCCAACAGCTTGTACGTGTCTTGCTTATCTATTTAGAGTGGCGTTGACGTAGTGCTTTTCTACTTTAACATCACTTTCGATTACTCTATTGAGGTCCTGTAGATGGTGAGAGAGACATTGCTGGTAAATGGTGGTGCTTGACTCATAGATTTTGTGTGCTATGATATCCTAGCAACAGACAAATAGCGAACAGCTTCGCGTCATGTATAACTCGAACGCCATGATGCAACCGTACATGGTAATGCCTTAATGCTTTCTTTGAACACTTATTTTGGCATTCACTTTAATTAATTGTTGTAGCTGTCTCAATCGATGTTTTCGCGTCCGACGACTCCTAGCTCAGCTGAGGCAACGGAAGAGGAGCCGGTGTACGTAAATGCCAAGCAGTATCATCGTATTATGATTCGTCGTCAACAGCGAGCGAAGCTTGAGGCAAAGCTTGGAAACAATCGCCAACGCAAGGCATATTTGCACGACTCTCGTCATAAACACGCCATGCGGCGGCCGCGTGGCCCTGGAGGTCGATTTCTCACCAAGGATGAGATTCAAGGTTTAAAAGATGGCACAATGGTGTTTGAAGACTTGCCGCGAAAGGCTGCCCCTAAGCTGCAGTAGATGTATAAAACTTGAACAAGCTCACGAATAAGATAGCAGCAAAGTATATATCTCGTGACATGTGGTGTGGATTGATTATTCTTTTCGTATTTGATGTCCAAGATTCATTTTTCGAGCGGTCAAACATACAACGCTTCACCAGACTAAAACGATAAGTCAACAGGCAGCGTTCGCTGCGAGGTCCCTTGTTAGCTTAAATGCAACAACTTCATAGCTCTGTCAACTGTAGCAATTCTAGATCATTGAATTGCGAAAATGTATACGGACGGTTCTTCAGTCACAACGATTTCATTTTGCTCTGTTTCTCGACGCGTCACCGATCGAAGGCGCGAGCTCAGCGATGATTGTGCCTCGTAGACTTTTTTATCAATCGTCTGTCGTTGATCAGCTTGTTATCACAGTAACGCAAGTAATTTCAAGTCATTTCAAAGGCTCGAATTATGAGACTACCATATCAATCGCACGACCAAGCGAAAACATGACAAAAGCGATTGCACTGGCGGAGAGAATTGTATGGAAGTCGGACCACGCACCTTTTCCAGCTTTTTACTATTCGCAATTTCTGTGGAAAACAATTAAATATTTTATATGCAGATACAGGTAGGATACGTTCTTTAAACCATCAAACAGGCTTTTTACAAGGACAGAGATTCTTGCTACGGTTCCGCCCAATGCTCGGCCAATTCTACTATACCTTTGGTAGATGATCGAAGTTTCTCCACTTGTTTACGAAGAGCAACCAAATCTTTACCGTGTAGACTCTTCTTGGCGTACAAGCGTTAAAAGATATCAAAGGATTGCTCTATTACTAGTTTCCAACGCTTGAAGGCAAGTATATCCACTCTGAGGATACGATTTTAGCCTGCCCACATAAAATGTAGGATGTAGGCGCGTGCATGCATGGATGGCTAATGATTGGATTTTAACACATTAAACGGTCCAATGAATCTGGGTAAAAACTTTATGCTTCTCAAGTTGGACGCTGCATGTTCAGGCATGTTTATCACGATCATTGACCTTATTTACCTTCTTGTTCTTCGTTCCGCTCTTATCTGATTATTCTTTTTGCAGAACCTGCGCTTTTGCAATTGCGTCTCGGACAAACCAAACAATGGTATGTCTCTTCAAAATTAAGTCATTGACGTGCTGTTCCTCACGACTTGCTAGTCGTTTAGAGTCTGATTGAGTCAAAAATCGCTGCTAAATCTTACAGCAATTTGGTCTGACTGTGGCTCTATAGCCACAGCCCCCTACGTAAGGTAGAGACCTCGCCCATTATGGAAGCAGGTACTCTAGGGTGAATACCATATTTTACATTTAATGGCAAATGACCTTTCAAGACATGCATGGAGTTGTTCGACTTAAACTTTGCGAAAGGAAGAAATTCACTCCACTCTTTGACGACGAAGCGTAACTACTTAATACGTCCTCCAGGACTCAACCCAAATGCTCTATTTGACCGTCCGTTTCAGAGTGTGCCGCTGTTGACATGAACAATTTGGTGCATGATAGTGCACGCCAAAATTTCGACGAAAAACGGGTGTCATGATCATACACGATCTCATCAGGAAGGCCATGCAGACGAAAAGCAACGTTCATGAAGACCTTAGCTGTCTTCTCGGCAAAGATCTATTCTGAAACAGGCCACCTTGATGAATCGTCCACTAACACAAGGATACCACTGTGTCCATGGGTGTCACGAGGAAGTCCGAATATGCAGTCCATACTCACAGACGTCCAGGTGACTGTTGGTACTGCCAACGACCAGGAACCCGATAATGTCACTTTCTGGCAAATCTCACAAGTCCTCACATACTTGCGCACTCACTTATACACGCAGTAATCCCGGAAATGATTGAGAAGCTATTTCTCGCAACCGAGATGGCTACCCGAAGGCTAAACTGATAAAAGAGTCGATGACGCAAAACGTTTGTCATTCGGAACAACAACTCGTGCTGTATCCCTGTATTCAGCCGCATAGTACAGCATTCCGTTGTGTACTTCAAAACGGTGAACACGCGATCTTGTGCGAAAACGGAAGACCTTGCAGTGTTTTGTTGGAAGAGGTCCTGACATGTCTCATCAGACTTGTACCTTTCGACGAATTCTTCGCGCACTGTACTCGTGGCTTGCACTCTGATCGTGTGGATATCTTTGCATTTTCGTGTATATTTTTGCTCCTGGACTTTGGATCATAGCCCGGACGCCCTGACAACGCATCGGATAAGATGTTCGTCGTGCCTGGCTTGTGGTGCTCAACAAAGTTGTCTTCCGTAAAGCAGGAAAACCATCAAGCCATTCTTTGCGATACATAAGGTGTCTATACTGTCGTATGCAGTATCTGTAAAGATCGCAAAGCGCTCCTCTCCAAGCAAGTACACACGGAAATATCCGAAGCATACTTCATTGTAAGTAACTTTCTGTCATGAACTGGATAGTTACGTTCTGCGGGCCGGAGTTGTCGCGACTGATACGAAATCACTTGCTATCAATCCGCATCATCGTATTGCATCAACGCACAACCGATTGCATACCTCTTGCATCGCAGACCACATGAAAAGGCTTATCGTGGTTTGCAATCGAAAAACAGGAGCTTCTCTCAAGCTCTTCTTCACTTCGGCAAATACCGCTTGATGATCTTTTGACCATTCCCACTCAACGTTTTTCTCTAAAACGTTGCTAGGGGTTGCACCAACGTTGCATTATTGTGCGTGTATTTGTGCAAATAGTTGACCAAGCTTGACCATTGTCTTGGCTGTTTCACATTGTTTGGCATAGGCCAATCATTGATGGCTTTGACTTTCTCCGGATCTACACAAACGCCATTCTTGCCCACAACGCAGCCGAGAACGGGGGTCTCTGGTGCAGAGAAATGCATTTTTTAGATTAGCGCTGAGTTTATTCTTTCACATAACTTGGAAGACTTGACGAAGATGATCAAGATGAACATCAACATTAAACCACCAACCCCTTTGAATAAATAAATTGTCGAAGAAAATCGGTGCAAACTCTCCCAGTTGACAAAGAAGGTTCGTGACCCCTCTGTTGAAAGTCGTAAGGGCGCTTTTCAAACCTTGTGGCATCGCTAACCATTCCCACAGCATACCACTGGGGGTACTGACTGCAGTTAGTGGTGTATCATTTTCCCGCATTCGTCTCTAGCAGACACCATCTTTCAGATCGATCGCACTGAAAATATAACTATTATTCCATCAAGAATCATATCCTTGCGTGGAACCGGAATCTTGGCAGGTATGGCTGCATTGTTCAATTTGTTAAAAGCGTGAACATGCGCCAACCACCTGTGACTTTCTTCCGACAAAATGCTGGACTACAATGCGGAGACTCACTCTCACGCACACGACCAGCCTTCTGCCGCTGCACAAAGAAGTCATCTATTGCAATGACATATTTTTTGGCAGCGGTCTCTGCAGTGTGATACAATACTTCGCACCAGGAAATATGTCAATTTCATGAAGAATGCCTCTGTTAGCTGGCAATTCGTCCGGCACCTTGTCTGAGAATATATCAGCATACTCCTTGACAAGTTCATACATGGGGGTTTGAATTTAGAGCATCCCACGACTGCTAATCAAATCTTCCCTTTCGTGTCTTCTCATCAATACTTCCGCAGTATTGATGTCATCGTGGATATTCGCTTCAACAACCGCACATACTTGCGAAATTTCGCCTTTCGCCAAGCTACGCTTCAGCGTCTTCGGCAAGGAGAACAAATCTTTGACTGAATTTGGAGGATTTTCTATATTCATGTGATGGATAATATTGACTTCCACTTCTGCGTTGTCAGCCACAACATTTACAAGCTCGCTTGAAGTGTTTTGTTTTTGAACACCTACTTCATCAATACAACTTGTGCCATGATCAAGGGTACGCAAAATACTGGGCGGAAAACTCTTCTTGGTGGTCTTCTCATTCTTCTCTCGAGGTGTTTTTTTTCATCTGATCTCACTGTTCTTCATAGTACCATCGACCATGACTTCCATATTGATAGCAAAGGGTACAGTCTTTTTCAAGCGCCTGACTGCCCCACCCCAGTTAATGACATTACTTTCGGCCTCTTGGACTTGTTCTGCGAACGTGGGGGACCGTCGCACTCCACAATAGTACTTAGGACATCTGTAACTTCTTCAACAGATGCATATGCCCATAATATTTCATTCGTCGTCATGCAGCTCGAGTTAGCGCTGCACGACTTGTTGATGACATTTTTATATCCATCCAGTCAATGCTAGGCTGATAACGCTTCTACCATGGCATACCTAGGATGATATCAAACTTATCATCGAAATTGAGTAAGATTAACTTGTCTTCACCTCGGAAACTTCAAACTTCATTGCCAAGCAAATGACTTGCTTTGGCATCTCCAATCTAGATCCATTCGCTAAATGAGCGATCATTTCTTCTTTCATATTGGGCAGGTTAACACCATGCCCAGTCATAACTTGCGCTCGATCAAAGTTATTTGACGCACTAGTGTCAATCAAAGCTTGTAGTGGTTCCTCAAGACCATCTACAAGACTTTTTGTGCAATCATAGTAACTTTGCCTGACAATTTCATCACTCAAAGAATGTGCAGCGTACACGTTAGGGCCAGAGTTCTGTGTATCCATAGCATCAACAGTACTTTTTTTGGGTCCAGTAGGGATCCTCGTCCGTACTGGTCATCCCGCTTTCTTACCCTTGAGAGCGTTCGAAACGACGTTCATAGCGTCCGCGATTATCCGAACGAACAACCTGTGTCTGTTGCCGTCTCGGCAAAGACACTCTGCAGTTCCAGGCAGGACACATATTTCCAGGCATGAAATTGTCAAGATGTCCATTGGCTCTGGACCATCACATGTACCGGTCGACTGGTGCACTTGCCTTGGTACGAAAGCCATTAAACTTGGCTTGCATCGCACCGTTGATGGCATCGTCCAGCGATTTGAGATACCCACGGAACAATTAACCCGGATTGGACCATCATTCAAGCCTGTCATGAACGTTACAACTTGTGTTTAACGTCAATTAGATCGTCGACAACGCTCGATAGCAAGAGGTCGTAACGACCTTGACGAAGCTTCAAGAGCTCGGCACGGGAACGGAGCTCACTCGGGTAGCTCAAACGCCTTTTTTAGCTCAACTTTTAAGTGTTCGGTGCTAGGAAAGCTGCTAACATCGGCCAAACGCTTTTCATACGCCCAGCTCTTCGCACAACTTGAATGGCTGGATATCGCGAACAACACTTGTTGCAAGGAGTCTCGTAGTTGTCTTGCAGTGATTGCTGCATCCAACTCAACAAACCATTGTGTCGAAGACTTGTTCTCTTGACCATGGTTTAGTTTCAAAGGCATCGTTTTGTACGAAGAAACAGGATACAAACTGCTGACGAGATTCCATAATCTCATGATGCATGAAACTGACGGCTGTATTCTTCTGGTCATCAGGAGAAGACGAATGCTGTAAACTGACCACTGCATTTTCTTTAATGACTTCTCGCATCCGCTCAAAAGCCATCCACTCATGTAAAGACAAATGAGGAGACATCTCATTCGTGAACACCTCAGTTTGCGGTACTGATAAACCGAGTGGTACCCCGATTCCTTCCATGTCGCTCGGGCAAGAAACGTAGTATGGCTAGAACTAGAATGCGCAACGTGCTCAACAGCCGCGTGTCAAGCCAAAATTTAGTGTCGTTTTAAAAGCGCTCGAAGTGCTATCAGGTGTAAGAGGGCGCTGCCCACAAGCAATCCCTCAAGCACAACACGCGCGCTTGTGCGACGAGGAAGCGATTCCGACGTGAAAGGAGAATAGCAGTTCCAAATTGGAGGGTTGAAGAACGTCTTAGGTCCTTTAAGGCAAAATTGCAATTGCATCAACATGAGTGATGGCACCTAGCTACATACAAAATACCCCAAGGGCTCCTAGGGGGTTTACTCATAAATCCTTGAATTCTTGATTTATAAATCAAAAGTGTGCTGAGGTTGAGACTCAGATTCAATTGATACAAGATCTTGGGTGAACGGAGCTTAAATTTCGAAAGCTTGAACTTGAACTTTATCCAGGAGAAGGGACAAGCTTACGTCACCCAAGTCTGAAGACAGAGAGTTGTAGCTTGTGTCAGTACGGTCATTCAAAGGCTGGACACGTCAGTCTTGTCAATAGTACAGATCCCCAAGTAGGTATCAGCATTCTGTGGCACACAGACTGTTTGTGATTTCATATAATAAATGACGTATACATTTGTTATCACCATACTGTAACCTTTTTATGAATTCTCACAATGCACACAGAAGGTACATTAACTCACTTAATGTAATGGCAACGTGTAGCCCATTACAAGAGTATATATGTAACAAAATAAATACGCATATAATTTAGAGTACCATTGCTTTGATATCGTATCGATTATAATATCACTTCTTTTACCACAGTGATTATATCACTTTCTTTCACCGGTATGAAATCAGCGTTGTTAAGCTTTTTTTAAGCCGCAGGTTATTGTGTAGACGTGCATAAATCCAGCCAGATTTCTTGTATCAGTGATTCCAAAAAGATCCGAAATCATCTTCTTTATAAGGTCTATACAACCACCATGAACTCTCAAGCACGGATGTCACTTGAGAGGCTGCCAAAAACGACGAGGTATATAGCATAGCGTCACAAGAATGTCATTGGTAAGGAATGTAGGGTGTTCGCAGATGAAGGCTGTCCACATATCCCACTTAGTTCTGATTTACCCCCCCTTCCCTACACAGCTCCACCGCTCTACTTCTCCGACTGAAGACTCCTCAAAGTTTGAGCGTCTTTCACAATAACCGTCATTTTGCTTGAGCTACACATCGTTTTGTTCTCAAAACCGAGACGATCAGAGTCCACGCAATGAGGCTGATGATGTGTTCATTGCCATTTTGAGTGATCCAGACCTTTCTGGAAAATCTTGGCGAGCTTGCTATTTTGAGCATTCGAAGATTTGTGACGATTACCATGACTATACCCCAATCCGACGGAAGCATTTCGACGCACTACGGTCGAGCTCCTTGAAATGGACCTACAGCTCGGTATTAATGTTGAACTTACTTCTTGAGCATTTGCTGACCCCACAGGTAGCAACGTCAGAGCAGTATCTCTTTTGGGGGGATCATAAGTATTGGTTGTCTCTTTGAGAAATTTAGCTTCGAAATTACAGTTCGGTTAAGTTTCGAGTGCTAAATGGCTCCACCCAAGCTCTGAAAGTGGAATGCTCGTCTCTTTTTCCTATTTTTGGGATCCCAAGCTGATTTCAAAAAGTATTGAACGTCGCTGAATGCTTGACTGTGCGATTATCAAAGCGCGTCGCTGACATCGAGGTGGACACTTGCGCTTACCACCACGTTCACCTGACATTAGCAGCGCTCATTCTCAAGATACTTACGATACGGCCTTAAAGGCCGGAAAGTACGCCTCTTTTTGAGTTAGTCGTCGTCTTTAATGCTGGCTTCATTCAGCTTTAACCTCCACGAGATTCGATAGAGCGCAATTCTCCCAGCATGGTGCTTTGCACCTACTGCGAGTCCACATATTCTCGCAAGGGGGTGTCGTTTGACCTTTTACATTCCTCAAGCAAAATCTAAGGAGTACACGGGGCGGTAGCGATTTATCCCACTATAGATCTAGCATCTGTGCGTGCTTCTGGACCCACAGATCACTTGATGCCCCTCAGCTTGGCCGAAGCTGATAGCGTTTGGCGCATTAATATAGCCTACACTTTTATATCGCCCACAGGACCTCACGGCACGATTGTCTGTCCGTATTCAATGCTGCACGTACCGCTTCTCGAACGGAGTTGGGTGCAAGAGGGAATCTAGATGCGAGCCAGATACTCTCCATGAAGATAGTAATCGTTGTTGTTTTCGGAATAGGATCTGTTGCCACTCCGGCTAATAGACTTCATCAAAGCTGATACTTCGGGATGAGTCCGCCGAATGTTTCTCTCTCTTGACGAATATACAAAATATCTGATCGCACACGGTACGACTATTTGAGCTTGCGCCATTATCATCGAAACAGTTCTTACCATGCAGATGCCTCTCTTTCAAGGAAGCTGCGTGTGAGCACCTATTCTTGCACGCGGCCACCTTGTTTGAAAACCAATTCGTCTGAAGCTGGGCCGAATCTTAACCTCTAGTATTAAAAAAAGATTTTCCGTTAAATGTGATATCACTTCTAAATTCGGCAATACTCAATCGGGTTTTGTGAAAACAGGTAACTTTGGTAGACGTTGAATTTTAATGCCTCCAGAGATACCCAGCGCACTCTTATAATTCTCAAATGCCTCCAGACAAATAATAACCGTTTCTGGGACCTGAACCACAAATAAATCAACCCCCTCAAGATTAACTACAGATAAGGAGCTCATGATGCTTGGTGTGTAATCCTGAGAACAGACACGAGAGCATATTATGGTCTATTTTTGTAACGGATATTGCCCGTCCGTGTACACACACTTAATGGGGAAGGCTTAGGTCAACTGACACGCCTCACTGCGTGTTGGTCGCTTCCAGTGAGCCATTGACTTACGGAAAGAGGAGGATAGATGAAGTGCTATTTATTATTATTGCCAGTAGTCTTTAAACCTTCCTAACCTGATAAGTGACTTCAGCTCTGATACAACAGAACTGAAAGGGGATATAATATTACTATTCAATACGGAACGGGGCCACACAAGATGTTGTGATCATACAATGGTGTGAATAACAAAATATGGTTTGACCAAACGACGGTGTGGCTACACTTAAACAACAAATCAGTATGCGGCTGGGACAGGCAGGAGATATACACCAAAATTGAGTTTTACCATATAGAAAGGAGAACCTATAGATTTCGATATAGGCGGCTTTGCCGCAGATAAAACCGAGAAATACAGGTTATATTTTAACGGAAGATATAATTAGCCTTGAATTGGGGTTGTCGCAACTCTTGAAATGAGCGGATTGCAATCCGCTACACTCATACTGGCTCTAAGTATAAAACAAAGGTCACCGACCTTAACTAAGCTTCCTCTAAGCGAAAGAGCTACGGCAGCCCCGCTGCGCATGGGTGGCACTTTAGGTTAAATCTATACCTGATTTATTACGATTGACCCTCTGTGAGGATGAAGCAATTCTCATATTTGCACCAGGGCATGCAGGACGGGCTTAAAAAGCTGATATCTCTGCTTGGCCCTAAAGGTCTACAACTCCTCGCTCGCAGGGACCAGAAGCGATCAACGCGCGCCTAGAGGCGTTTCCAAGCTGTGAAAATACTCTGCTAGAGCAACTAGAGCAGAAGATGTCGGTGGTGGCGGCGTCCATGACGCCACCGTCGGCGACGGATGACTCCATCCGACCCGAACCACTTGTCATTAGTTTTAAGACCTTCGAGGGCAAGGATGATGGAATCTCCTGCTCTGGGTGAGAGGTCGAGATGGCCATGGCGTCCGCCATGCTTTTGACCGAGCAATAGCGTGTGGCGCTAGCTATCTCCAAGCTCGGGAGTCAGCGCGAGAGCGGGCACTGAATAGCCGGCATCCAGTCGGAGCTGCGTCTCCCTTCTGAACGGAGCAAATGCTGCAGCTGTCACGAGTATTCTCGCCGCCTAACAAAGCAGATTGCGTGCGATTGCGCTTCCTTGCCGCCCGACAGAGCAAGATGAAATTGGTGAACTTTTTTTTTCCCCACGGCAGCAGATCCTCTCCGCGAAGCGGTCAAAGGGCCTCCGCAATGGCGTGGCTTGAACGGAACTTTTCTACGTGCATCTGTCTTCTTCTGCGAAAAACAGTGAATGCGGCATTTAATACCAAATTTAAATTTAAGTCGGCAAGACTTGGCTGGAATGCACACTCTAGCAGCTCGTCTAGTTGGCTTGAGCCAATGGATCTTAGTTTTGCTGAGAAAGAGGATGGAGAGCTCCAAGCTGCCGAGTAGCGTTCGAACACCAAACGGTGTTTTGACTGTGGAGACACCCGTCATTTTTGGAGTGGTTGTTCCCTACGCAATGGCGCGTCAAGGTTCATCGAGCCGACGTCCCGTTTCTTACTAGTCTTCTGGTTTGTCGCGGGGAAACGACAGCGCCCAGTAGGCGCGGGGTGCCCTACAGCGAAAGAACTGAGTTCCGTTTAGCCTAAAAAGATAGATGGCAGCAGAGCCCAGCCTCTAAGAGCTCCGTGGCCTTGAAGACGGGACGTGATTGCAAACCGAGCTTGCTGGTCGTGAAAGCAACCGTGAAGGGCTTTGAGAGGCCATGGAAGATCCTATTCGACTCCGGGGCGTCGGGCGACTATGCTAGACGCTCAACGATAGAAGGAAGCCAGCTGTATGCATAGGCGTTAAAAGCGCGGTTGAGTGACATTGTCCGTGTTCGCTGAGCGACAGGGACCTGTGTCACGGTGCCAAGTTTGGAAGTTCCGACATGAAGTTGTCGTCGCGACTGCGCGCACGGTTGCACCGTATTCATTAAACAACGGTTTGCTGTATTATAGCACCATCTCGACGCATTCGTCACAAAATGTTCCTCACGAAGAGGATTTGAAGCACCGTATCCTCTATGAGGCCCACGACACGCCACACAGCGGTCATCTCGGTCGTGAGAAGACCTACAGCTCATCCACTACTGGTGGACCAAATTGTCCAAACGGACGAGCGTATATGTGCGCACGTGTGAGACATGTCAAAGAGTGAAACCCTCTCCAAATTTGGCGGCACAGTTGGTAAGTTTGCCGGTACCCCCCAGGTGTTGGCAGTCCATACTATGATTATGGACTTTGTGTTTGCCTTGCCAACGAAATCGAAGGGCAACATTGGTGTCAAGGTTTTCATCGACAATTTGAGAAAGACAGCATATCGTTCGGCAGTGCCGGATACTATGTGCATCTGCGCGATGTTAGCAATTTCGGCTTCGTTGCTTGGCATCTTTAGCGATAGCGCGCTGTTGAAGGCGAGCGAATACTTGATCGCTTTCTTCGTTCGTAGGGGCTCTCTAGCAGCTTCGACATTTGTTAATGAGGGAGTAAATACGCCAAGAGGCCGACGTGATTTTCGTCACGAGATCGACGCTACAAAACGTGTCGTACACTGGCTTGCATCCCACCAAGAGCAAACGGTGGAGGATCACGTCCGTTTCGATACCCCAGTCGACAATTGCAATATTGACGAAGTACTTGCCACCAAATTCGTCAAACTCCTATAAACAAAGATTCACCACCAAAAAAGTTGACCTTCGTGCGCTCTTACTTCAAGCAGACTTTTTTACTCTTCACTTCATTCGCAAATTACCACCGGGGAGCTTTAATACTTGCCCAATCGCGAACTCGCCGTACAGCTTCTCGAGGGCTTCGTTAGTATGCGACATCATGATCCTCTGAAGCAGGAGCTTGGCAAAAGTCCGACTGGTGTCGATCACCATATCGTATTTGGCGAGCGGGAGCTCGTACAGTCGCTCCCGCTCCATGCGAATTGAGATGAACAACTTGTCACCACCAGCGACGTACTAGCGCTCAATTGCTTCGATGCCGCAAGCGCGGAGCTTCGGGTAGCTTTGACCTCCGCGTTATTGCGTCAACACAATTCTTGCTGTCGCAACAGATCCGCCATTGTCGGACGCGTGTCGAGGCTTCGAGGGGGCAATTGACAAGAGGCTTTGTGGGATCCATCGACTCGCCGTCCGATGGAGCAGCGTCAGGAGGTGAGTTGGGGCGCGTCAAATAGATAGTAGTTTGTGTCAACCGCAACAGCGGTACAACGAACGGCAGAGATGAAGCGCAGACGTTGAAGGCGACAGGGGGAAGAGAAAGACGACGGCGAGACTGTATGAGTGGCTGGCAAATAACAAGTTGGAGGTCCAAAGTTGGCGTAGGGATCTGAGCAAGATTGGCCGATCGTGGTACCAGACTGGGTACCGGGTGCAAATACAAAAGTTAAGCCAACCAGAACGCGAAGGTCTGGTCGATGGGAGATGGAGAGGCAGAAGCAACTGGACCACTGAATCGTCGGCTTCGTATTTGTCCACTGCCTCATGGGGATCCACTCCTTTGGCTTGGTTGATTGAGCAAAAGGTTTATGATATGATGGTCACCAGTTGATTACTGGCAGGGAAAACCGAGTCCGCTGTTGTTATCTGTCGCAGTAAAGCAACATTCATGTTTTTTGAACAAGTAGTTTGTCGTCGTTTTATTGCACAACCAAGCTGGCATATACTAATATGATAACAAAAAGTTATTGTCACACATGTTACTACGGATCATTTGGCTCAATTAAAAGTTTATCTATCACTTAGCAATAGACTTAGTGACATATCAATCTACTGGTTAATGACATTATAAATACTACTACACATTTTATATATAAATGAATTTCATCTGCGACATGGATGTTGCTTATATGTTTCTTTCGTAATTAAGTCGATTGTCTAAGGTTGCTAAAGACTTCCTACTCATTGAGCACAATGTATCTGTGGCCTAACATGAGAAAAGGGGTAATCATGTATTTTCGCTTTTGTGAAACATGCCAGCGGGTTGAAAAGCCGCATGCGGCGTCATCTTTAGCCCGTCTGCCGGTTTATGCACCAGATGAGTTATCTTGTTTTATAATGTGATCAATGAAAGTAAACGCACGTTACTCGATAAACACTTCCGCTAATATGGCCTGTCCTTAACCACTGTATGAAAAAAAGCGATCCGCGTCATACGGATAGGTTTGGCAAATATTACACAAGGTGCTTGGTCAAGCTTCATTTTTTTGGCCATCTTTGCGAGTGGTCCCGCGAAACGCATGAATAGCGTTGCCGATGATATTCTTTGGAGAGCTTGCGCAGGGAATCCACAGTGCTGGAGTGCGTTGCTCCCTCTTATCAAATTTGCATTCAGTTTTACACTTCATGCTTCTACAGGCCTAAATCCAATTTTATGAATAGTTGAACCCTTGGGTGCCTCTGACACCGCCACGAAACGGCTCGTTATCGTGAGAAAATTTTTATCAAAAGCGAGTAGCTATTATCTGTCTAGCTACACTTCGAACCACAAAAAAAGATTTCTATTTCGTTTGAATTTAACGTCATGCTCAGGGTCTGCAACGCTGAGGCTGAGAGCAGAGACAAGTAAACGCAACATGCCGATGCTTGAAAGAGTCAAAGCACACGTGAATATGCTGTCGGGTACAGCAAGAAAAAGGAACTGATTTGTAAGATATATATCCCGGAGCGAATTTAAAAATCCATGGTTCTATGTAGGCTTTTTGAGCTCTTGCTCTTACGAGCAGCTGCGACGTCGAGATCTCTGCTGCAGATAAAGCAGCGTACGATTCAGCTGATTTATCCGCTGCCTCCAAGCAGTGACGGGACTCTGAACCGCCGAAGTGGCTCAAGCCAGATAGTGCGATGGCATAGATTTGAGATCAAATCTGAGATCGGTCCAAACCCAGTCTCGGATGCACGCCATGACTCTCGAAGAGAGTCTAGGCACCGCCACAGCCAAAGTTCCAAAAAGCCCGTTGTGGAAGGGACGATCTCGGCTGGCTTTGTTTGATGATTAAAGGAGAGTTCACTTTCCCGTGGAGCGTCCGGTGGACCGACAAAACACAACGGCTTTAAGAAGTACCTCGTAAGGTTTAAAGACATCCTCACTCTAAAAACTTGCGGGAGTTTGAGCATCCACTTTGGGATGTTACCATGGGGCCGTGGCCACTTACGATCTGGCGCACCCTCGTCCTTCATCTTTCTTGAAGGCAAGGCAGGGTCACCCGTCGTCGCGCGCTTTCGACCAGTGGCGGATGACTGGTCAAGCAGTTGTATAGGCTCTTGTTCGTTAGCCGTTAAAGCAACTGGCGACGAGCGGGGCCATGAGTAGTAGAAACGTTAGGTGGTGGGTTGGATCCTAGACGTCTTAGGTGTGCTAGGTCCAGCATTAAGGTAACAAGATAACAAGCTGGACATCGTATTGGGTTCTACGGCGGGACGTTTCCCGACGATGGAAACGAGTACGCAGTTCGAAACTCATGACGCGTTGAGGAATGAGCACAGTGGTGTCACTCTCGGAGAGAGACTAGGCCTCAAATCGCTCGGAAAAGCGGAGGTGCTTGGTCGGGATTCGAAACATCGCTATGGTCGTTCTTTTCTTGGCATTCTCACCGAGATTATCGTTTAGCACCACGTTTGCGAAGACCGAATAATCGGCAAGACTTTCAAGTCATTTTAATTGGCACACGCGGGCGGACGCTCGGTACAAATGTGTTTTAAGTGTTAGCACAGTAAAATACAGAGAATGGAGTTGAACTTCATGCGCATTGGTTGTTTGTGGAGCAGTCACCGTTCCGCAGTGTATTGAAAGACCTCGTGTATCCGCAACTTAGAGGAGTGCTGTGATCTTGTGTACTGGACTCTTACACACGGCTGCGAACATGCAGACGCAACTTGAGAGGGTGAAACACTACTGCAGGGGCTATGGCGTGAAGCTCAACTTGTCCAAGTCGGTCCTCTAGGGGCTAAAATCAAATCCACAACTTTTCCATGCCTCCTGGCTTTCAAGTGCTCAAACGCACGGAGACAACAGGTCTCTCGTCATCTCTTCGGACAGACTTCGATTGACGACGCGATCATTAAGTTTCTAGCCAAACGCTGCTATAACGGTTTCAAGGCGCGGTCCTAGCACGAAGTAACGCTTCGTAGTTAACGTTTGATAGCACAGAGGATGGTACACTCCGTCAGTGGCACTGCACGCAGCATGAATCGATACCGGTACCGGTCGTAATGTGGTGGCTGTCGATGTTGAATCGATTCCTGCTGAGTTACAAGCATGACCGCGACGTGTCGTGCTGTATGGATACCCGAGCAAATGATAAATCCACTAGTCGACGAAGCGCAGATCAAGTCGTTTGTCAGCTTAGTCAAGCATTTGCGCAGATCTTGCTGTCATCAAAGACTTGCAGTTCGGCTCGTCCTCCGTCTCCAACCAGTGCCTTTCAAGCGTTCTGGTTCCTCGAGCCAGCAAACCCGCGCATTCGGTTGTGTGTCTGTGGCGGGCGTGACGCTATCGAGACACGCTCTTATCGTAGCTCTGGCGGCAGGTGATCGAGTTGGTATAACTGTTTCTCCTTGAGCGTCCGACATTGCTCTGGTCGGGGAGAAGCTCGAATGCGATGACTGAGAAGCTTGGGAAGACATGGTGGGCAACGTCTGACAACGCTTTGCGCAATAACATTCTACTTCTTGCGGTCCAACCTCAACTGGTATCTGTTCGACGGACGACAACCCCCATAAGCGCTCGCAGCAATCCAGGTGGTCTTCACGACATTTTCATTCACATTCGTTACCACCAAACGACGCCAACTCGTGTTGGACGCACTTGAACTGCTGTTCAAGGTAGTAGGGCCGGGTGAAGGGTCGCCCAGCCCTCGGTGAGTCTATCAAACGCTATTCGGATAGTAAATTATTATTTATATCGGTGCAATTACAGTATTATTCTTGTTCGTTATTATGATGTTGTTAGAAAATAAAAATATTATATAAACTAAATCATTTTTTTAAAAAATTTAAAAATAATTTATTATTTTTTTATTTGTAGAATTTAATTTATTTTGTATATTTTAAAAAGAATTACCTTGAAATTTGATGAGAAATTCGATTTAAACAATCATAATCGTATTTGCTACGATGATATCAAAAATGTGTATGTAAAGCAACTGTGTGCGGGAGACTGCGTAACAGAACATTACGAGGCCTCGATCTACTGATCAGAGGTTATGAATTCTAGAAGATGCTTGAAGTGGTCTTCTAGCCCCCAACCCGACGTTCTCACTTTCAATCATGAAGCTCATGTGACACCAGCAGCTTAAGATGGACGCCTAACTATCACCGGCCCTCCTCAGACCCATTCAGCCCAAGCCGACCCCTCCGTCCCAAAGTCGACCTCCACCTAACATACTGTATTGTCTCCGGTTGCACCCGAAAGGGGGAGGGGGCATGACCCAGGGCGGAGTCTCACTGAGGGTCCGGAAGAGGACAGTGAGGGGTCAGAGATGGAGTCTAGCGCAAGCACATTGACAGCCGAAGGACCGTGAAGACTGGGATAAAGTATTGCGTGACATGGAACGATTTGGCTACCACGAGTCCAGTTGATCGAAGACGCCAATGCGAATCTCGTCGAGACGCTTGGCACGTGCACAATTATGTCCCAAACCGTGAGCTGCCGCTCCAAGCGTACATCATCGGGAACGCGAGAGCCTTCGGCGCGGTCGCCGACGGTAAAGACGATGCGTTCTCGCCTTATGCGGTCCAGATGGCACTTGAGCCCCTTGACCACCAGCAAAATCTCGCACGATTCCCAGAGGTATGGGTAGTGTATCAACAAGATACGATTAAAGCCATGGCTTCACGCAACGAAGGCTCGACAAGACTATGAGATACTGGTCCAATGCGGTTACAAGGTGCGGTGTGGAGCTCAGCATCAAAACACTTCGCAAATTTTGCTACGATAGGTAAATGCCAGTTTTATGGCGATTGTGAGGTGTACGATAAATGACTTCGTGAGCTCAAGCCGGGCGTGTACCTTTTCGGGGCGTACAAGCGCAACATGCAGGCTCACTGCTTTGCATTGGAGGTCACTGCGGACGAAGACATTATCGCACACGAGAATGAAATTGATTCAGGCTTTGTCAACCATTAGTGGCTTCGCATGATCAGCTTTTAGTCGAAAGATAGAAGCTATGAAAATTATTACCTGTGATAATCGATCCTTTCTCTGTACACCTGGAACCACTGTGTCGACTTCTCTCACGGTACTGTGTACCTGCGAGTCAAGACAGAAGGGGTTCCGTCAATTGAACTATGCGAGCAAGCGGTGGATCGTTCTCACCCTTTACAAATTTGTTCGGCCAAGAGTTCCACCATAATCGTCTATTTCACGTCATGAAGTAGTCTTTCATGATAAAGTGCTGTACGTCCGAAAGTTCCAGCTCACAATCTGTCGCTTGGAAAGCGGCTGCTCTACAATTAGCGCCATCATCATTTACAAAAAGTGGTCGGATCAACAGTACTTCCCCGACCATAAATGAAGCCACAGATAAACATAGTGTATTTTAGTATTTATATATTCATTAACCGGTAGATTGATATGATGCATTGTAAGCAAAAGACAAACTCTCAGCTGAGCCAAAAAATAGTCAGAAACATATGTGACAGTAACTTTTGATATTGTATTAATATATACCGGCTTCGTTATGCAATGAAACGACGATGAACAACTTGTTCAAAAAGCATGAATGTTTCTTTACTGCGACAGATGACAACAGCGTTCTCAGAGTTCCCTGCCAGTATCGAACTGGTGACCTTCAGATTACAAGACTGACGCTCAACCAACCGAGCCAGAGGATCAAGCCCCCCCCCGGTCTAGTATTTTTCGAATAACCTTCTAGCTTCCGTTTTCGGTACCAATATGCCTTTTGCAGGCACTGCGTAAACAATTCTCTGGCACACTGGTGGCGGACAGACAATTCCTGCAATCCTGGGTGCGGACCTGAGCCATATATAAGTTTTTAATCGTAAACCCCAACCCATGAATAATGGCGTCGGTCGCCTACTTGAAAACCTTCCCCTCGGTGGTATTTCTTCAATTATTAGCTTTTCACTTTCTGTGCGTTACACAGTGTTGACTCAAAAAAGTCGACTTTGGGCTCCCTAGTCGGCTACTGTTGATGCATTCGTTCCGCAACGCTGGTCACCAACCGAGATATCTTCACTTGTGCGTCTGTGTTGACTTATTCATCCGCATGTTTTACGATTCTACCTTCCGAAAACAGTAGAAGCCGTTGGGCTAATGTCTGCCGAAACGTGACTACGCTCTGAGCTGCGACGATGACAAATTACAATACTTTATGGAGTGCAAGTAATTTCTCTCGATGTAGAATACAAATAGGAACTGGCGAAACAGTCAGACAGCATAATCCTATTACGCCCGTCCGTCTGTCCTTAAAATAGAGGAAACAAAAAAGGCTCCCAGAGTAGCAACACCGCTGCAGAAATTATGCTAAAATTTCATTTTTACGTGAATTTTACACAATAACTGATTTTGAATTCGTGCCTCAAAACGTGTATTAGGTTAATAAGGTTTCATGTCCGCTATGTCAAACGGCACAGAGAGCTACGGGTCCAGAATGAGTGCGAAGACTGTTTTATAAGGTATACTGTGCACATAGCCTATTAACGTTACTACGTATCAAATTGTACAGCGAGCTTTATCCCAGATTCAGAAAGAAGCATTATTTAACTCCACCAAGGCTCTGTGACACTGAGTCTCATCGTTTGTCAGATACGTAGGTCGATGTCATTTCGACATGTAATGTTATTCAGAAAACGATCAACGCGACACTGTCAATACATTTTCTCGTCGCTTGGATCGAAGCCACTGTTAAGCACTGCACGAAATTCGTCGTTTGCGCGCAATAGCTCAGCAATGCGGTCATAACGCTCTGGGTCCTTGCGGATTAAGAAAATAAAACACTCGGTGTCTAATTTACCCTTGATCGAAGCTAAATCCATTGCCTTTTTCGTCTACAATAGATGTCATATGTAAGGCACCAACGTCAAATACATTCTCTACTAATTCCGTGGCCATTTACTAGGAATTTTAACTTACCATGGAGTGGATGTACTCGACTACGAGGTCCTCCATGAGCTCAGCCGTTTCATCGAGCGGTTCACTCTCGTCCCCAAAGCCAAACAGCATGTGTTTTACTGATATAACAGCAGATCAGAAATACTACTATGTGGCATATTTGTGATAAGTACGTACTATTTTCCACCAACTCTCCACGCTTAAACGGCTTCAGCTGTGCTGCATGCACCGCATACGCTTCAACAGCAGAGCCATTTGCCGCCACTTCTTCTCCATCAGTAGCTAATCGCTTTGCTAGCGATAAAACGACCTTAGGTGCTGCACCTGCGTCGCTAGTTTTGCGTTTGCGCGACTTTGGGGGTGCTTTCTTCTTGGTCGCGCTGTTAATAGGCTCAGGTTTACTCATACTGAACTAATATTCCTAAAATAATTAGATGCCAAGTCGACGAAAGGTCAGTTCGAAAATAGTTTTGATAAAGCTTCAATAAATTACATTTTGAAAGTTATGGGGAACAAGCCGTCGGTACGGAAAAGGTCACTGCATGCTGATGACTCGAGTGCAACGCCAGTGGACGGTCTTACATTTCGAGCAGTGATGGAACACAAACAGTTAGGAGCGCCACGCACTGGCTCTTTTGCTAAATTGCTTACTGCAAATTCCGCTAGTGTTCGCCCAGAGCAGGCACCACGGTTACGCACACCCTTAGATCAAAAGTGAGTAGCCTGATCCATTTTGATTGAAGATAGAGAATGCACTGATAACCATAAATTTCACGGCTTTTTGGATCAAGAATTACGAATGCGATTAAGGAACGCTGGCACGACAGATCCCAGCGGGTTAAAGAAAAGGAAAGGTAGGTATTTTCTATTTTATTCAGGCTGATTCTAGCGCATCTTCCAACTGCTACCTTGTTATCAACGTGTACATCATAGCCACCTTACGAGAATATTGCTGAAGCTGCCCCAGGCTGCGGTTCGTATTGGCAAAGTGCTACTTTTTACCCTTTGTGATTAAGTACGACACGTATAGGCAGCGTTTAACAGTGTACGCTCAACGTTCCAAGCGTATGATAAAGAGAATAGAGGCTACATTGAGTTCAATGACCTTTACATAGTCTTTGAGCAGCTGGGTGCGAACTTTTCAGCCGAAGAGATTAGCCAAGTTTTTAAGGAATCGGATATGATGATGACCGGCAAGCTCAACTTCAACGAGTTTCTCTTGTGTCTCGCAATCGGTTTTGTTCTTCATGTAATATCTCCTGGCTTACTAGCCATGGTTTGATTGTGACTGTGGTATGAATTTGGCTAGAAAATTCCCTCATTGGAAGGCGAACATGATCAACTTAGTATATTCTACGCTCCCATGTAAGAATCATGTATTCAATCGTAGGAAGTTCATAATTTTTTGGAATGGCGCATCTCATTCAATTCATGAAGGTCTCGTGTAGGCAACAGGTCTGCATCTAGTCAATCCATACTATTTGGAAAGGTAAATTGATGTGACAGTGAAAAAGGATTTTTAGACTTACTTTGTATTTCTGAATTAGGGCAACAAGTTAAGACTTGCTTTTCAACTTGCCGTCGACGCATTTTTGTGGTTTGATGTCGATGGAGATGGCGTGATCAATCGGTGAAAGCCACTGTATTGAACTCGTTATTGTACTGCCGATCCTAATTTTGAAATTTTATAGCGCTGAGATGTCAGCAAAGCTACAAAACTCAATGGCTCTCCACTCTCCAACGAGAAAGATGTCCGCTAACAGGCGCAACAAAGGTAAAGTGGCGAATAATGCTGGTCGAAGTATGTCTGTCGCAAATTCTAACGTGATCTATGCGTGACAGACGCGGGTAATGACTCTAGCAATCAAGCCATCTGGGAGCAACGTTTTATGGAAATGGATTGGAACGGTGATGGAACGATTCATTTCAAGGAATTTCTCATGGCTTTCGAATTTTGGGTAGGCCTTGAAGAAGAAATGACAAGTTGATACACCACATAAAATAATGTATAATAAGTATTCGATTATTCATAATATTAATTTTGAGCTTGCTATTGATTGTGCTCCAAGACAATGTTTCACTTTCAACTATAGCTAGAGGTGGTGACCTTGTCATCAATGTTACTGCAGGATTGTCAGGCAAAAGGGGCATCAACTGAGGTGGTTTGTGGTATCTATTGTCCACGTGTTAAGAGAAAATATCAAATGCATCCATAAACTCTTCGTGGTTTTTTTGGAATCGGAGTGGGAAGTGCTGGCACCAGAGCTTCACTAGGGAGCTGCGGCACATGTTCTAGCAAAGTCCAAGAATCGACCGGTGCGAACTCTGGCCTCAGCATCTGTGAGGCCGCAGAATTATGGAATGATGTTGGATTGCAGCCCACAAACACATTTGCTGCCTCGAATATTTTCATGGGACGCGGTAACACTGACCAAACTCGCCGCTTCAATTCAGAGGGAAGCTGTAGAGCTTTCACAAGTTCCTGTAAACAAACGATGTCAGTTACTGACCTCTTCAAAGCAAAATTATAAAGAATACTTACAAATTGTCGGTCGTGGAGAACAGAAGCATTGACAATCGGAATGAGGTCTAAAATCCAGCTAAAAAGTGAGAGACCCGGACCCGTGGACACAACCGTCGTGCCGAGTAATGCAAAAAGCGTTTTGACAATACGATCCCGGTAAGAAACGGTCAAAACAGCATGTTTGCTGGGCCCAATTATACCGACAAGTTGAAGACGCACCGCCAATTTGCACCGAAGGCGACGCTGAAAAAGATTATTGTCAAAACAAGAATCAACCGACTTGGTTTGCATCTGCTTGTCACAGATTGTACAGCCTTCATAAAGCCACTCAAGTTGAGAAGCCAGTGACATCATGTAGCGCGGTAAAAAAGCGTTACCAGGAGGTGTGCACATGATCCCGCCCACAAGATGCAGGAGTGATGTCGTGTTCAACTTTCGTGCAAACTTATCCAGGTGAGTGTGCTTAACGTCATCTTCAAGAATATGTAGAGTCTTTGCAATGACAGAACCCATAGCGCGTCTTGATATGCTACACACTGTTGCGGCATATAAAGATGCGACTGCAGCATCCTGAGCCTCCCGCGCTGCTTCTAGCATTTGAATTTCACACGGAGCTAATGAGTTCCTTACAGCCGCAGCAGTCATTGCGAGTGCCTTTCTCCTCACGCCATCGTTTGGACCTGGGGTAACACCGCGCTGCGTAACATCGTTCATTTCTCCATGGTGTGCATGGTGTGGCGTTCCATCCGGCCTTGGTGTAAGAAGTGGCGACGAAGCCGAGAGCGCAGTCATTGTCGTCGATGTTGTCTGTGGCACTAAAACAGATGATGTTGCAGTACATAAGATTGATCCGACCCCGATGAGGGGTCTTGAGCTGCGCTTCAGCGTACGCAGAACGATCAAACTCGATAAGATCTCTGTGGCACTGCTTGACTCGTCAAATCCAAGCTCAAGCTCCAAATCTTTCTCGTTTGCATTGGTTTCGCCATCAAAAATATCACTAGTTAGTAAATTACCACCAAATGCCATCCCTATATCCGATTGGGAGCTTGAAGATATTGTGCCGTCAGTAGAGCCATTCACCATTGCTACATCCGCTTCATCACAACTATCTAGAGCTGGTCTCTTAGTTGAGCGCGTCGATAGCTCGCATTGCGGTGCTTTACGTTTGTTAAAACATACCGACTGCTGAGGGGTTACTGGCTGTTGAGGCCGTGAGCCACGCTTCGAGCGCTTCACTTTCTGCTGTTGTCGGCTCATTTGCAAATCAAGGTAAATGGACCCCCCACGATGCAGTGTCCATACATTCATCTGATCGATAATCTGATCTACTTTCAGTAATTGAACCTGTCCATTGTTATCCTCTGCAGGTGATGAAGGGGGACGAAAAAAGTGCGTGAGCAATACAGCGGTGTGCCATTGCTTCTTGTGATAAATTGGTAGAATGTGTTTTTCGCGGGCCTCTTTCGTATCTTGGAAGATCGTATCACGAACAATTCCGTCAGATGTCAAGTTAAACAAGGTGGCGCTGGCCAGCACGCCACGCTCTTCGCGTTTGCGAAGTAAAAAGTTGTCTTCCATCTGGTATGAGATCTGGCACAGCAAGAAGCATAACGGGAACATTAAGCAGGCCGGAACCTGGGAGCGCAAAAAACGTAGATGATATTTTGTCTAGTGTACAGTCCATCAGTAGGATTTGCGACAACGAGATGCAATGTGAAATCAATAATCACTTACCAACGGCTCATCAAACATGACTACTTTTTGAGAGTCAAGTAGTACATTCTGCGGAGGCTCGGAAAAAAGCTGAAAGACAAGCGCCATCGCGAGCAGCTGCGTCGGCAAATTTGGCGGTGGATCACGCGAAGCTCGGCGCTAATATTGAAAAGGAAAGAGAGATTAAGTTCAACCGAAAAAGCGATGAAATATGACCTCAGCATACCAGTCTAGGAAAGAGCGGCACAAGCACCAAACGAAGGACTTGAGACAAGTCTAAAACTTTATGCACCACCAAGGACACGAGAAAACTTTTAAGTCCGTACTGAAGACGGTCCAGACGGCCTTTCTGATTAAGCATAAAAGCATCTTTGCTGTTGTCAACGTTCAAAAAGGGATTCCGCGATCGTTTGGGAGTATCGCTGCCAGCAAAACCCGGTAACACTTCTTTTTGAAGCCATACAACCAAAGTGTTAGAAAACTTTTCGTGGAATTCGTCACTGTTATCAGGATGCTGCTCCACAACCTCTCGAATTAGACGCACGCAACGATGCAAATAGTGTGGAGTCGAAATGGGTCGCTTGCAATTCGACTTGATTCGTGCCGATATGTTTGCCATCCACTTGTCCATTGCTTCGCTCAACACCGCTCGAAAGATAAATACGTAGTTAGGCGTGCGTCGCTCCCGCGTAGCATTCACATTTGTTGAACCTACAGAAGAGGAAGTCATGCTCATATTGATTGAGTTGGCAGCATAGTCGACGGCGCTATCACGGCACTTTGCTTCAGCGGAAGAATTTGCTTCGCCCACAACTTCTTGCCAAGACAAGCTTGCATAACTGGGTTCAACATATGCCACTGACTCGGATAGATTTGCGTCAAGGCTAAATCTGTTAGGACTATGTAGAGGAGTACTGCTTCCAGCACCTGGAGTTGCGGGAGTCTGCTTCCCATCGGAGCTTGGCCCCTCAAAAGAGCGCGCTTGCAAGGCTTTAAACGACTTCGCAAGTGCACTCTTGAGCTCTGGAGGAAGAACTTCTCGAGGAGGTGGAATGCGTACTATAGGATTCGTCACTTCAAGCGACAACTCTTTCTTGTGATTCCCATTGGCTCCAGTACCATTTGCATTGGGATTCGTACCGTTCATGGTACCCCCAGCGGCTGCAGCATCTTGATTTTTTCTCGCAGTTTCTGCTATCGGTTTTAAAAGCGCAAATGGCAAGTCCAGCTTGGCAATTTCTTTTTTCTTGATGTGTGAATAGTACATTTTGCAAAAGAATTGAGCCACGTTGCCAGCTTTGTCATCCGCGTATTTCGGAATACGTTGAAAGCGGTCCACAAACGACTGTAGCAGAAATGGAATTTGATCCGTGGCACAGAACGCCACTTCATGGCGTTCAATCATCGCCAGCACAACGTTTTTTACTAAAAAGCAAGGGGATCGCCTTAAAAAGTGCACAAGAACCTCAAGAAGCGCCAACACGTCGACAATTTCAAGAATAAGGCAGACAAGTCGCATCACATGCTCCACACTGCCAAAGTCAGAGAACCGGAAAAATGTTGTCTCCTCATAAATTTTATTCAAAAACCAAAGTGTGAACCGTCCTTTGTCGTGGCCACACATCGTTTTGACAGCTGACACCAACTCACCCACTTTACCCTGATACTCAACTTCTTTTACCACTCGATTACTATCCCCGGAGCTGACACTTCCAGTATTTGCAGTACCAGGTATAGGTGTGCTTACCATTGGCGTATCATTCGCCTGGCCGTGTGTGTGAAACACGTAAATGCAAAGGGATTGCGCTCGCTCAAGTGTTTTTGAAAGATTTAGGTGTTCGCGACGAAGTTCCATGACTTCGAGCCAGCGTAACAACTTTAATTCATTATCATAGCTATCATGTGGCAGCATCGGCACGCAAGTTGGCAACGGGAATGGACTTCGTGGAAGCTGCCAAAGGTACAGTTTTAACCGGTCACTCGAGGAGAGGAGATGAATATCGTTCGATTTGTATCCTCGACCCGGCGAACACTCGATATTGTACGCGGTGTGAACAATCTGTGCTGAATCTTTCCGCCTCAAAGCGCCAGTGCTGCCCCCTGCATCAGCGGCCACTGTGAGCGACGGACTGTTTTCTATAGTAGTTGCTGCTTCGATGTAAGACGATGCAAAATTCACAAAGCTAGCAACACAAAACAATCGTCGCCGGACCAGAAGACAGAAAAGCTCGATCACCTGAGTCACCTCCGTGACAACCTTAGGCTCGTACCGGAGCAAGAATCTTTGTAGAGCGCTTTGTAGAACCACTTGGTGCTCTTCAGGTCCAGAGGTAAAGAGCAGACCTTTCCTATTTGAGCGTTCGTACAATAGAAAGTATCAGTAAACGTTCTGATTTTTTACATCTTTTTTAGCCACGTACTCTTTCCCAAAAGCTAGTAGCGTGCTGCTATGCATTTCAATCAAAGCAAGTGCGGATAAATACCGGTATTCGGCTGGCCGCTGATTTGTCACTGCCCATTCGCACACCAAGAAGAGTGCTGTAACATCAACGGGCAGCTCCGCGGAAGTATTTTTGTCAGTCATGCTGACAGTGGGCAGTGGACTAAACACTTCGCAATATACACGATTTAAGTCTAAGATTGAGTTCACACGATGGAAACGGTCAAGTGTCTGGATAGTTTGCGCCTCGTTGCGCATCGGAGCGGCAAGAACATGATTTCCAATGACCGAATTTTGCAACGGACAAGCCTGTCGGAGGCGAAGCATACGCCCAGCGATCTCCTTACTTTTGCGCTGACAGCGATCAATACAGGCTTGAATTGCTGCAGCACCATAAGCATCACGATTAAAAAATCGTTCGGTGTATACATAGAATGGCCATAACGGAGGCGCTGTTCACCGATAAAGGCTTAGGCGATTAGCTTCAAGTTACAAGGTCAAACAAAAAAACATTACGTACCACTTTCATTTAAACGAACAAGAATATCGTTGCCGTTCAGGAGGACGTCACGCAGCAACTGGCATAAGGCTACAATAAGCTCTTCTTGGAGAGCACTTCCTGACGTCTCGAGCGGCACAGGTCGACCGGGAGGCAGCAGATAGCGTAGATGCTGCAATATAGTTTTTACGAGCAGCAGTACAGAATCTGCCGACAATAAAATTTCTGGGAGTAACTTTTGCACTACTGAAATCAGCTCCATAATCTCATTGAAACTAAGCGCCAAAACGGCCAAACTCTGTGTGGAACCATTCGACCCGCGTTGAGATCGTGGTGTTAGCGCTTTTTGCATCAGCGACAACAAACCATCAAAGTAATGTGCACGATCCAATAATCCCACCTTGAACTGATATTCCGAAAGCTTCAGTACGTATGACCATTTTTCATGCCACGAATGGGACAAAGGAGAGCTATCTCCTTTAGCTCCAGGAGCATTTTCACTTTCGACACCATTTCCAACATATGTCAAGACTGCTGCTTCTCCATGCCTCAATCTCGGTGTCTGTGTGCTTAACGTCGTAGTTGATGTTGCTACTCTGCCTGTCCTATAATCAAAAACACCATTTTCGATTCGTTTAGTAGCTCGACCTTCAATTGCCCGGTTTTCAGATCCTGCATTTGTATTAGAAGCCGCTTGGCGCGCCACGGTATGCAAGTAATCCACGAGCTTGTCGGTCCATCCATGATTGCGGCGTTGGTTCCGCCGAGGACTAAAAAACCAGTCTCCAGTCCGAAGAGAGCTGTCTCGCTGAAGCTCCCGCATTTCTGTATACACGACATTGATCCGTATAAACCACGTGGCATCCGCATACCCTGGCCGATACTGCACTACAAATTCAAGAAGTGGACACTTCGAGACACCAGGAACTGCTCGCCATTGCTTAAAGGGGACACCTTGGGCTTGTGTCAGCTCTGCCGCACTACGAGAGCCACTAGCCAGCTCTTTCATCCACGTATGACTTGTGCGATCATCAAGCCGTCGCACATGACGAATTAAATAGCTCGTGAATGCACGCTCTACAGCTGCCACAGCGGAATTTTCGGCGCCAGATTGTGTCACAGGTTCTTCTACATCATCACGTAAACGCTGGATTGCGCGTGTAGCCCTTGTCAAATCATCGAAAATAGCTATTTTTTTCTCAGTAAACGCAGAATATTGCTGATGCCATTGCTGATTAAATCCGCGTGGCAATGGACTCACATATGCCGCATTGCGCATCGCATGAAAACGAAACTTTTCTTCTGGAAAGGTGGCATTGGTTGGGAAAACGCTTGGAAACATCGCCAGCTTGTCGGTGAGATGAGGATGCTCTGGGTCCTATTACATATCACAACAATTGTTAGATGTATTATTCTGTGTAGCTAAGAAAACAATCAATTCACCTTCATGTACTTAATATTCATGCCAATGATACGAGTGGCAGTGTCTGCTGGTGATAAATCGTTTTGCCGCGCTCCAGTTCGGTGCATTAAAAGCAAGTTATTCCGCTCACGCATCCGGAGGGAGGGGTTGCCTGATGCACCGAAACAGGAGCGATTGCCACCACTATTTCGTCGTTCCCTTGAGCTTCCTCTTGGTTCGCGAGACCACGATTGTACACGATTGCGTCCATTGCGGTCCCTTTCCCGATCTCGATCGCGTTCACGGTCCCGATCACGGTCTCGCTCCCTTGAAGACATCCCGCCAATTGAGTTGGAGGATAACCGATTCGGCAGTCCGCGGCCAGAGGCATTCAGCGACTGGTAATTTCCAGTACGACCACCATGCGAGGCGCGTTCTTTGTATGAAGAGTTAACGCCGGAGCGCCCGCCGGCTTTGCCTTCACCGGCATGATAATTTTCCATGCTATAATTTTTTAAATGTATCATTTATCCGTCGCTTGAAGCCACACCACATATACATCGAGTTCGGATTTTCACAAAAAATACATAAATACTTCAATTGCATCCTCACACAAGACACCACACTACTGGCTTCAGTTCTCGAAGCCAGAAAATCGAATCAGTTTTGCCGTAGTTCGTCTGAAATCGTCAATCTCGTGCTAGGCGATGCGAAATCATAGGTAACACATCACAATTAAGATTATTGGTATATATCATATATATGAAGAAATGGACTGAAAGCTCTCAATGCAATCGTTTTTATTCAGAAACAGTAATGCACATCAGTCATCGACTCGGAATAAATCTGAACCCGAGAAAATGTCGCGACGGACGCTGCTGATCTTCGGGGGTGCTTTAGTGCTACGACTCGTGCTACTGCTTTTTGGATACTTGCAAGATTTGTATATGACTGTCAAATACACGGACGTAGACTATGATGTGTACACGGATGCAGCCCGGGAAATAGCTGAAGGCCACTCGCCATTTGAGCGCACGACATATCGATACACGCCTGTGCTGTAAGTTTTATTGCTAGCTAATTTCAAGGAGTATGCTTAAGGTTCGGTTTTTATAGAGCTTTTTTATTATTACCGAACATTTATATGCTTGAAATGTTCGGAAAGCTGCTGTTTGTGGGCTGTGATTTGGTTGTCGGCTACATTTTGTATCAAATCTTACGGCTGAGAGGACTGCCTGATTCAAGTGAGAAAAATGATAAGGTTTATTAATTGTTTTCGCGTTCTTGATGACATTCTGGTTTACCGCAGGTGCTGTTAATTATTCTTGGTGAGAGTTCGCCGAGAGCAATCGGGTACTGGGGTAGGCTCTAATGCGTGAAGTGTTGGTGTTGATAGTGTATGGCTTTTCCATCCATTTTCGGTGAATATTTCAACGCGGGGTAACGCGGACTCGATTGTGGTGCTGTTGGTAATGTTATCACTATTATCGATGATGCGCAAGCAACTCATGCTGTCAGCATTGGCGTAAGTATTTCGTTGACCTAATTATAACGATGCTTTGACCGACGTGTCGATATAGATATGGTGCCGCTGTTCACTTTAAAATTTACCCGATCGTTTATGCGCTGGCGATTCTTGTGGTATGAAAATTTGTGCAGAATGTGATGTAATGACGCCTTGACATTTATCAAAACCTGCGCTCTCAATCAGTTTCTTGACGGCAATTTTCAAAGTACAAGCATTGAACGGACTTCCTCATGTAGCTCAATTTGGGCTCTGTTCCCAAGACAACTGAATCGAGATCGTCTATTGTTTGGCCTGACGAGTGGAGGTTTATTTGTGCTTTTAGCTGCTGGCTTCTACCGCCTGTGAGTGTGGCAGAAACATCTTGTTCTTGCGTAAAACACTCATATTTTGCTGACAGCTACGGGCTCCAATTTCTGCATGAGGCGTATCTATACCATTTCACACGCACAGACAACCGTCACAACTTTTCATTGTACTTTTATGATCTATATCTTCGATACAATACTCCGACGGGTTTTGGGGTTGGGCTTCTAGCATTTCTACCTCAATTTTCGTCACTTGTTGCCATTTCGTTTGCCTACGGCCGTGATTTACCTTTCGCGCTATTTTCCTTGACAATGGTATTTGTGATTTTTAACAAAGTTTGCACTGCCCAGGTACTCAACGATCTTTTAATTTTCATGCCAAAATTCACTGTTAACTTTTGTTGCGTGCGACCTAGTACTTCTTGTGGTATACCGCATTTATGCCTTTGATTTTTCCACTGACACGTTTGCGACTGAAGTGGAAGGGTTTCGCTATGATCATTGCGTGGCTAGGAGGCGAGGTCAGTTCAGTTTTTTTTGCAGTTTGTCAAATTGTGCTCACTTATTGCTTGATGATCTTGCAATAGCTCCATTGGTTATACTGGGCATATTATCTCGAGATGCAAGGTGTCAATACATTTTTTCAGTTATGGATTGCAGGTCTCATTTTCTTCTCGGTCAACGTTGGCATCCTTACCACCTTCACAATGTACCATACGTTTACCCCGTTATTTTGTAATGGCCAAGTTCTCCAATTGAAGAGTAATGAACGGTCAAAAAGGAATTAGCTTTGTTATTTCACTATCATGGTATACCATCAGAATCAAGCCAAAATTCCTGATTTTCAAGACAATGTGTATCATCTGCTATCGCTCTCTGACGTTAACCAGAGCGAGCGTCGACACGTGCAGGTTGGTATTCCGCATGCATTAAGCTGTGCTATTTGCAGAAATCTTGAAATTCACATTCCGCACTATATTTCTCGGGTGCTTCAGCATTCACCACTAACCCTGATAAAATCCATCGCAAGATCAGCAGCATCATTTAGCGGATGAATAGACGGAATTGCCAGTGCAAGTGGAATAGTCACTTCTTTGAGAAAACAGTTTTATTTTTTTCTGGATGTGATGAATCACAGTGCAAGCCGAATCTAGGTCGATACGCTTTCGCCTTGGTGCACCACCAACATTTGACGGAGCTACAAGCCGACACGTCGTTGATGCCATCGCCTACTGTACGCGACGTCATCGTCACCAACTAGGCCAGCGGCTGGCTCGCAAAATTCCGGGAAAAAAATGTTGGACAGAGCCAACGCCTTAACATTTGACGTGTAATGGCAATGGCTATACAGATATTGTCGCTGGTAATCAGCCACAAATATCCCATTAATTCAATTGTCTTACAACAGCTGCGGCTTTTAGTCGAAAAGACCGTACAAGGAATTATGCTGGCCAAGCTTGAGCTTTGCACTTGGTTTTCGGACACATCTGGTAAATTTGTACTAACAACAAATGCTTGAAGTTTTCACTGCACTTGATATAATTGTGAATATTCGCAAGTCCTGGAATAGCATTATGACGAAATTCCGAAAAGGAAGCCGCACTTTGCTAGGAGAGTTATAAAGCGTATCTGTTAAGCATTAATTTAAATCTGAATAAATATACTCGTGAATAATCTCGCTACCGATTCTGGGTCATCTGCGCGCTTGTTAAAGCAGACTATAAAAAGTGAACGGTAAATTGGTTCCAACTCGCGCATGTTTGTAAGCTTTAAATCTAAGTCTTGGTAAGATGAAATGCAGCGGGGCTGCCGTAGCTCTTTGCTAAAGGAAGCTAAGACAAGGTCACCGACATTACGCTCTTTACAAGAACCAGTACGAGTGGAGCGAACCGCAATCCGCAATTCCGAATATAGAAAGTCAAAGGAGCACCAGGCCATGACCATCAACGGCGATAGGAGGTATGACCTAAATTTTTCGAATGCGAGTATACCCTTTCTACTCAACCAGGTAAAGGTGATAATTCTAGTGAAAACGCCCGCTTCAAATCAAGTGTGTGCCCCTCTGCTCATCACACAGGGACGGCCCACGCAAACAAATGCGCTTTAGTAACAACCCTGCCTCCAAGAGTACTCAGGACCTTAGCCAAGGTAAATAAACTTTTCCGTTAAAAATTGAAACTGAATTTATATGTTTTAGTTGCGGCAGAGCCGCCAATATCTAAAACCCTAGGTTTTCATCATTAATATAATTCATATAGCAAAACCTAATTAATATGCATTACTACTGGAAATCCTACCATATGGTGGCTTCTTGTTACGGTACAGCCACACCA